CAATACCAGAGTCATTGCCACTTTTTAATGTTGCTTATTTGGGCTTTTGGTTTGGTTTGGTTTTTGTTAGTGTTTTTATTTTGTTTTGTTTTTTTACACAGTATCTCGTTATTCAGGTGGCCTTAAGCTTGCTGTGTAGTCCAGACTGGCCTCAAACTTGTGGTGATCCTCCTGCCTCAGCCTCCTGAATGATAGGATTATGGGCATGTATTACCATGCCCAGCTTCATTTTAGCTTCATTTCAGATTTGTAGAAAAGAGTTTAGAGATCCATTTCTAATCTAAAGTTTTCACTTTCTCAGTGAACAAACTGAGGAACACAGAGGGCCATACCTTAAGATTGGCAGGCATTAAAAAGCTAAAGAGGAGATTATTGTGCCAGGTACTCTTGGTAGGTAGATAGGTATCAACTGATTGATTCATTTTTGGGCCAAGTATTCTTTTAAGATCAACAGATGACAGATCAATTCAATCTTCAGAGTACCTTCATGAATTAAGCATAATACTGTCTCAGATCAAGTAACTCCAAAATTCACTGCTAATTATAGCAGGATTCAAACCCAGCCTATTAATTCCAAGGCTCTGGCCTTTAACTGCTGGACTTTTTATCTTTGAAAAGTTAACTGTTTATCTTAAATGGGTTAAATGTTTTATGGGAGGGAGGTGTTTGAAGCAGGTCTCACTTTGTATTCCATGTTGGCTTTGAATTCAAAGTCACCTAATTCAGCCTCCAGTGGTATAATTATAAGAGTGTATCACCACACTAGGCCCTCAAGGTTTTTAACATGGGCTGAGAATACTTTCTGTAGTTTCCTGACTCTCAAAACAGATCTTAGGATATTTTCTTAGAATTTTATTATCCTTTTTTAATTTTTTATTTTAAAGAGAATAAGACAAAAGAGAACAGAACAAAGCAAATCAGAACAGAACAATGCAAGCAATACAGCACTGTTAGCCTATTTTATAAATGAAGTTGTGACTTGGCCAAAGTCTTAGCTTATTAAGTGACTATTTTAAACTAGAACTTAAGTTGTCTGATTTGTAGCTCACTACTTTTGTATCAGTTCACATGATCTGCCCACGATGAAATTTTGTCCAAGCAGCAAACACATCTACATCCTTCATTCACACTGCAGTGTATTTTCCTGTCTGTCCTAGAATACAGTTAAATCAGTATTGTTCATTGTCTTACAGAGTTTATATTTTATGGAACAGTACGTAGTAATGGAAGTATCTTATTAACACAAGGAACTTCTATTACTTTAAAACCTTTTAATGCTATTAATATATAGACCTACTTAAAAAAAAACACAGTAGCACCCTACGAGGCCTTGGCAAGACAACCACAAGCTTGAGCCAAGCCTCAGCAACTTAATGACTTACTGAGATGCTATGTAAAAGTAAAAAATGGGCTAGGGATGTAGCTCAGTGTAAAGGGCTTGGATTAAATCTCCAATATTGATAGTAGGAGTAGGAGTAGTAGTACATAGACTTGACAAAACTTATGTCTTGCAACTCAGGCAAGTGTAAAAAAAAAAAAAAAGCAACAAATTTTCTTCAGGGCCTTTGTAGAAGGACAGAGAGAAAGAGGAAAAGGAAAGGGATGGGAGGGGAGAGGAGGGGATACAGAGAAAGAAAGAGCAAAAGGCAGGCAGGCAGAAAAAAAGACAAGAAAGAAAAGAATGCTAGGTCATTCTGACTTCTTGTGGAGTAGAAAGCTAGCTTAGTTTATTTCATGTTGCTGAATCTAATTTGGAATCATTTTTTTGATTCCTAGATCCTTCAGTATAGAAAGCTCACTCCCAGGGCTGGGAATTTAGCTCAGCGGCATAAGCACCTGCCTTGCAAGCAGTCAGTTGTGAGTTTGATCCCTGGTACCCATAAAAATGAAAAAGACCAAAAAAGAAAGCTCACTCCCTAGAGCGTGATTTCCTGTAGTGGAAAGTAAAAGCTTAAGTAGAGCTGACACTAAATTCATTGACATTTTGACATTTCAGACTGAAAGAAAGGGAATTTTTACAACTTTCTTTTTAAAGAGAATAAAACCAAACAAAATAAAACAGTAAAGCCAATCAAAACAAAATATTGAAAGTGATAACAGGACTTCAAAGCAAGATAATAGGAAATCAACAATGGTTACCATAATGCCTCTTGTTATCATCAAAGTTGGTGTCTATCAAACATAATAAAATCAAACAAAACAGGACAGAATAAAACCAATCAAAACAGAAAATTGAATAAATCAAAATAAAACAACAAAACAAAACAGTGAGAACAATATTGGATTTTAAAAACAAAACAGAAGGAAATCCCCCATATTGCTATTACCCCCTTAATACATGCTTAGACTACTGGCTATCAACTCAGCTTGTCCTCCAGAATCAGCCAGTTGCTTGGGAGAAGAGTTCTTGTTTCCCAGCCCCTGTGCTAACAGGAAGGGCAAATTAACTGCTTGTTTCTCCTCCCAAACCCAGCATGGCTTCTGCTAACTCATGGGAAGGGTATATTGGCTTGTTTCTCCTCCCTGGCCCAACGTGGCTTGCACCCCCTCACAGGAAAGGCAAATTAGCCTCTTGTTTCTCCTCCCACAACCCTTTGTGCAACTTTTTAAAACAGACAGTAGCAGATCTATTTCCTTAAAAGTGTCCTAGTTTGCAAAGATGATTTAATTTTTTTAAAAATCAAGCGTGTTCTAATACTTTCCATTTTCCTGTGTTAGGAATTTGACTTTCAAAAGCTTTTGAAAAGCAGAGTGGGGATCTTGTGATAGTCTTCCATACCTGAATAGGCACTAACAAGTCTTTCGGGGGAAACCAAAGGATCGTGCCCTTCTGGGTAATCACTATAGAAAGTTTTTTATTTTTTATTTAAAAAGTATACATATTTATAAAAGCTATATGAAATTGTTAGTTTTTAAGTACAGAGATAAGTTTGAATGGAATTAAGACATTTCCTGCTGAATTCTTTTTCAGACAGATATGTCATCTTTCCTAAACAACATCATTTAGTATTGACTACAGTAAAATTCTTTCTCTGCTGTGTCATGAAAGGAATTGGAGTCACCTTAACAGTGCTACTTAAAGTCCCTACTGCCTTTTTTGATCACAGCAGGAGACAGTAATAAATTACAGCCTGGAAGAAGTTTCAAACTGGCAAGTTTGCCAGATATTTTAAGCAATTTATTTTAGGGTGTATCAGCAGATTTTTTTTCTTACACTGCCATTTGGGTGCCTGCTGACACAGCCTGAATAAATCTTTCAAACATTTTCTTTCCTAGAGATGGATGAAGATGATGAAACTCCAAGATCTAGACCCTCTGTTAACTCTTCACCTCCCTATTAACATGTCTCCGGGAAACTTAGATATCACTTTGCATTGGAGTTTACAATATTTGAACTCCCTAAATTGGCAACAGCTTTAAATTTTATTGAAGGAGCATTTAGCAAAAGTTGGTTCTGATTTTAGACTTAGAATATTTTAGATTGATTTTCATTACTAATTTAACTTGTCAGATTTTGTAATAGCCTGTGTATGTGTGTAACACAAAGATAAAATCGACTTGATTTGTAATATGCTGAGATTTAAAGCGATTTCTTTCTAATTTTAGATTTTTTTCTAACTGAAGAAGTCATTTTTTAAAAATTACTAATTTCTGTCTTTGGGTTCCAAAAGGTAGCTTCACTGATATTTAAGTCAGATATTTAGAAATTCTAAACATACTGATGCCTGAAAATATTTGCTCTGATATCATGAGACTAGAAGGGCAAGAGATAAGGGAGCTAACTTACTGAGAGCTTGCACTACGCCAGATCCTTTTGTAAGCCACTAAGTAGCATGCAGGAGAGAGGAGTCTCGTTTTACAAAGAGCTGGTTTCTGGTCGGGTGAAAGGCAGTTCTCAATGAGTTGGAGGAAACAAGGTAAAGGCTTAACCCTGTAAAAGTCATCAGCTGTGGGTCTGGAGACACAAATGAGGTAGGTCATCTCCTTACACCCTGAATGTTTCTGTATCTGAGAAGTGAGGATACAGCCTCTAGCCTGCCTTCTCAATCTCGGCTGCACGTTGGAATCGCCGGAGAGAAACTAAAAAGTACATCTAGAATCCTCCAGAAATTTCGATTTGATTACTCCAAGATGCATCCTGAACATTTGGAATTTTTAAAAATCACAAGTAATTTACAAGCCCAGCAAAAGCTGTTAATCCTTGGAGGATGGCTAAGGAAGCCCTATTTATGTTTATTTACAAGGGTTAGCAGATGTTATCAACAGTATAAGATAGTTTTCTTTTTTTCCCCACCATAGCTTCAGCTGATCTGTTAGGGGGGAAAAAAATCCAAAAACTAACTTAGAATTCCCCCAGCAAAAAGAGGGCATAAATATTTGTTTCATTTGTGCATGTATAACCTTTTAAGAATTCAAAAAATGGGCTTGAGTTACAATGTATAGAGCCGGTTAGGAAGCAGGACTTTTCTGTTGAGACATTTCCCCCCAGAGAAATTCTAACTTTTCCCACACACCCCCTGCGGGGCCCCGTTTTGCCTTGCAAGCCAGGACGCGCGCCAGGGATGGGATCCGCTCTGAGCGTCCAGCTCCGGGGCGGGGCGCCGGCGGGGCCGACCCTCCCGCCTCCCGCCCTCGGCCCCGCCCCGGACGCGAGCTGGGACCAAACTGCTGGCAGCTCGGGAAACAGACTGCATAGCAGATCCCCAAGGCTTCGGCGGCTAGGTTTACGCTCCCCAGCGGGCGCTTTTCTGCTGCTACGAGCAAGCGCCTGTGCCTCTGGCTGGAGTCCTACATGAGCCCCTGTGCCGGAGCAGGGTGGCAGTCACGATGCGGGGCCGTGCGCCTTGAGCTGACCCTATGACCCTGGGTACTCTGGCCGGCGAAAGGACGGTGTCTCCCGCCGGCACCTGCAGCCGCTGTGGCCCGGACATGATCCCATACTTCTCCGCCAACGCTGTTATCTCGCAGAACGCCATCAACCAGCTGTGAGTGCTCCGCCAGCCCTGCCCGCTTCCGCCAACGCTGGCTCGGAAAGTTTGCTGCTCGGCGGCCGCTTCCCCAGCATCCTGGGGCGTGAACTCGCTCGAGAGTGTGAAAGCGCAGCCTGTGTACTCTGAGTATCCGGGGGGCTGGGGTGAAGTTGTCGGGTGGTTAGTGGAGGCCGCAAGTGTCCCAGAACAGAACAGTAGGAGTGGGCAGAAGAATCTGATTGCTTGGGAGAAATTCTTGAGACTCTGAAAATGGGATAGTCCCAAAGAAGTCTGTGGTGACCCAAGTGACAGTCGAGCCGTATGTCACATGCGAAATTGCGAGCGAAGGGTGGTTGGTAGAGTAAAAACAGCCCGCCAGAAATGCGAGAGTCTCTGGGTCCTGCTGGTGACGAGCCTCCTGTGGTGGTGGGTTTTGTTAAAGTGAGTTTGCGCTTGACGGTACGGTTCTCTTGTAGACTATTTGCTCGGGTTGGCTGTTGTCTGGAGGTATTTCAGAAAACTAGATTTCAGTAGCTTAGCGGTTTTTATTTCCCCCTTCCTTACTCATATGAGCTCATAACTCACATCTGCGTGTACTCTCAATCACTGAAGTGCAAGAATCAAGCGCATCTTTAAATTGCCACTGTTTTTAAAGTCTTTAGAGTCGTCATGCCCTTGCATTGTGGTTTAGTCATTTGTGGGAACTGTGTGTGCTGAAGCTTGTGGTTAATCTCACCTCACAGTTAGAACGTTCAAAGGAGAGGAACTCCGCCCCTTCAGCATGTATCCTTAAACTAGTGGAGTGGTTTATGGTTCCTGTAGATGGCAAGAGTTTTGGTCTGGGTTCATGAGGCGTCACTCACTCCCAAGTATCTTCAGAGAAGTTACCTACTGAGATTTTCCTAGAGTCCCAGCGCTTTAGCGAGGTTGCTGACTCTCTTCTTCCTGAAAAACTCTTCAGAAACTTACGTTATCCCACAATAAAGTTCTGGAGAATAGCATGTAAGATGATTTATAATTCTTTATGACTGATTTATAACTATTTTAATTGATGACTAGCTGTTCTGTCCTCCCAAATCAAACTCATTTGTGTTTCACTTCTTTTCATTTGTGTTGATTTGTGGTACAGCACCTAAAAAAAGAAAAAGGAAAAAAGTGATTTCACTGTCTTGTTCTATCAACTCTTTGCAGTTAAACTTCCTTCCTTGCATTTTTCCTTCTGAAAGGGCTTGAGGAGACGGGGGTGGAAAGAAAGAAAAGCAAGAGAGTGAATAATTTCAAACTGGATAATCCATGTCGAAATAATAGTGTTACCAGTACTTTTTAAAAAGACTGTGAAGGCTGAGTATGGTAGTGCACATCTGTAATCTCAGTACTTGGAAAGCTGAGGAAGAGGATCACCGTGAGTTCAAGGCTAACCTAGGCTACATATACATAGTGTGTCCAAGACCAGCCTGAACTACACAGTCAGACCCTGTCCATTTATATGAGATATTTGGAGTAGTCAAATTCAAAGACTGAAGAAATGATGGTTGTTAGATGTTGATGGAGAAAAGATGAGAAATTTATGTATAATGAGTACAGAGTTTCATTGGTGGAAGATAAAAAAATCTAGACTAGCTGGGGATTTAGCTCAGAGGCATAAGTGCCTGCCTTGCAAGAGCATGGTTGTGAGTTCGATCCCCAATACCCAAAAAAAAAAAATCTAGACTAGATGGTAGTGATAGTTGCCCAACATTGTGTAAGTACTTAATGCCACGAACTGTATACTCAAATGACTAAAACGACGACTCACGAATACTTAATAACAATAAAAAAGAATTGTAAAAGCTTTTTCTGCAGTGCTGGGGATCAAACCCAAGGCCTTGTACATACTAGGCAAATATTTATCAAAGACCTACACCTCTAATCCAAAAGTTTGCTTTTTTGTTTACTTATTTGTTCCTTAATACTGGAGATTGAACCCCAGCCTGTCACAGTGAGTGACATTCACAACTTTTTCTTTTTAGACAGGACCTCACTAAGTTGCCTAAACTGAGATTGAGTTTGTAATCCTCCTATTTTAGAGCTTCCAAGATTTTGGGAGGTAAAAGAGTTTTAAGTCATATTTCCTAATGCAGTTAAACAAATCCTGATTTTTTTTTCTGATTAGTGTCTGAGTAAATCAGTTGACTTTTGTTTCTTCCACTGTAAAAGAGAGATACTACCCTATGATATTATAAGAGATCATATATTCAGTAACACTTTACAAACTCTAAATCACTGCACAAAAACAAGTTAACTGAAATTAACTAATAGCTACCATTTATTGACCACTTGTCACAATGCCAAGTGTTTAATATATATTATCTCACTTAATCATTGCAGCAACCCTGTTTATTCTGTTTACATATAATACACCTGAGACCTAAAGAAGTTAAATAACTGTCCGAAGTCTATATAGATTGCAAGTTAAAAAAAAAAAAAACACCTGTCAAATCCAGATCTATTTCCTAGGCCAGTATCGTTTTGTTTTGTTTTAAAGAGAATAAAACCAAGTAAAACAAAACAGGACAAAGCCAATCAAAACAAGTGTGGGGAATAAAGCCAGTGTAAGTGACCCAGGACTTAAAAATAATAGGAAATCAACAATAGTTACACCATAATGCCTCCTGCTGTTTTCAAAATAGCTTCAGATACCTTCAGACATAGTAAAAATCAAACAAAACAGAGCAAAATAGAACTAATAAAAGTAAAATAATGAATGCAATAAAAGACATCAAAACAAGATAATAGTAAATCCAAATTGGCTACCATAATACATCTTATCTTTCAAATAGCTACTCATGCCATTGGATACAATAAAATGAAACAAAGCAAAGAAACACAAAACCCAACCCAACAAAACAATGAAAATGATACAAGACTTAAAAATAAGACAATAGGGAATCAACAATGGCCACCACCATCAAGAGATACCCCATAGATGCCACACTATGTACTGCCATCCCCTGAACAGTTGATCAGACCACCGCCTTTAGACCTGCAAAGTCAACAAAACCCTAAACACTACAAGCATTAAGTTGTATTGCACCTCAATAGCCATTGTCACAGCCTGTGTTTCTCCAGATCAACTGGTTGCTTATGGCAGGGAGGAGGGAGTGCGGGGTGGCGGGTGTTGACTCTTTTTGTTTCCCAGCCCATGTGCTGGAAAGGGCTGGCATCTGGCTCTACTCCAGCAGCCTGCACATAGTGCCAGTTTGCAGGGAGGGCTTGCTTCTTGGTGACTTCTTGTTCTCTTGCCCTGCAGTCCACCTAGGTCAGTATTCTTAACAACCATAAAAATATTTTGTGTAGGTGGATATAAGATCACTTTTTTCTTTTTTGGTCATATTGAAGGGCACTATCACTAAGATACATCCCCACTGCTAAATTGCTGATGCTGGCCCCCAATTCAAAATCCTTCTGCCTTAGCCTCCTGAGTAGCTGAATTACAATGTGCTCCATTGTATGCCAGGGTACAAGATCATTTTTGAGAGTTGGCAGTCTTAGGAATTATCTTTGCTGACATCTCCAACTAGTAAAATGTATTTGCTATACTGTACTGAGTTTTGCATCTTTTAAGAAATTTTCAGCACGTTTTTTGTTTCTTGCCACTTCTTTGTTCTGAAAGGAGACTTGCTATAAAATATTTAATTCTAAACTATTTATTGGTATTGCTTTGAATGGCATGTTTGCTTAACATTTATAATGCTGCCCAACACCTCAAATCAGTAGGACTTGTTCTGAATAAGAGTCTAAATTTGCCTGGCACACCTCCGTAATCCCAGCAGTCAGGAGGCTGAGACAAGAGGATCACCATGAGTTCAAGGCCAGCCTGGTTTACATAATGAGGCCCTGTCTCAAAAACAAAAAAGCCTAAATTTATGATTTTAAACATAGTCACTGTTGCTACCTAATGCACAAGTACTTAATTTGGTATCTATGATCACCTGGAAGTCTGTGGCTTGGCTTGAAAAATTTTACTTCCTGAGATCATATGAAAATGTGGGTAGATAAGCATTTTTTAAAAGTCAGATTTCCAAAGTAATCAGTGATCTTAATAAAAGTTAAGAACTTCTTTTCTAAAGAAGTGTTGTTTCTAAGCCCTAATACTCCAAACCGTAAGTGATGTGTGAACATTTTATGTGGTACCAGGGAAGAGGAGAATAGCAGTGCTAATGGGAGCAACGAGAAGATTTACATTGAGGGTAGAAGTGATGATGAACTCCAAAAGAATTAAGTGTGTATTTTAGGGGAAGGGGCTCCTTGACCCAAGAATACTCTTAGCCTAAGAGTTCTCTTTGTCACTAGAAGGTCTTGCTCTTAGAAAGTTTTCTTCCCTGTCTTATTTGCTGCTTTACATTTGCTGTGTAATTAAATACCAAAGAAACAAATCCTATGAGAACTGGGTCAAAGAATAAACAGACCAGAGATCCTAGAGGCTCTCCTATGGGGAAAGGTTGTAACCTGTAAAGTATAGCCCTTGAACACCAGTTTCGGTGATGTCATAGCCTTTCCTTTTTATTTTATAAAGTTTATTTTTATTACTATATGTTTGCAGTACCTGATGTTTACCTTTATTATGGGAAGTTGTTACATGTGCATAACACATCTAATTCCTTTTATCACCCCTTCCCTTCCATTCACCCCCTTCCCTGCATCTCCATATTCACTCCCATTTGTAAAAGCTCTACCTCTGTTTTATTTGCTTTTGAGTCAGGATTTTGTCAGGTTGCCCAGGCGGGCCTTAAATTTGGGAACTTCCTGCTTCAGCTTCCCAAGTGGCTGAGACTTTAGGCATGTGCTATCATGTCTGACCCATTCAAGGATTCTTTGCAACTTTCTAACTTTGAACTTGGGGAGGGTATGAAATTATAGAATAACCAGTGTATTAATCTACTTTACCAGTGATCATGTCAATATTAATGATGTCTGTTGAAGAGATAAAACATGCAGTAAGTAAAAGGACAATTTGGCATATAGTAAATGCCAGATGAATAATAATTCAGTTGACAGAGCTTTTAGAATTCAGAGAAAAGAAAGGTGTCATTATAAATAAGCCTATTAAGAAAGGATTTATGGAATTTGAATCTAAAGTAGGACTATGCTCCTCTTAAATGTCTTGTTTCTTGTGAACATTGGTAAAGGATACTTACATGGTAAGGAAAGGGAAAAAAGGAAGACTCCTGTTGTGGTCATCAATAAATGAATGGATGGGAATATATGGCATATATATATATATATATATATATATATATATATATACACACAATGGAGTATTACTCAGCCATAAAGAATGAAATTCTGTCATTTGCAGGAAAATGGATAGAAGTGGAGGACATCATGTTAAGCAGAATAAGTCAGACAGAAAAAAGACAAGTATGTTTTCTCCTGTATTTGCAAACAAAACAAAACAAAGT